TTACAATATACTTCCACAAATACAAAACCTGGAATTAAGCTGACTAAAGATACAAATAAATGCTACAGGAACATAGGGAAGAAAAAGTTAGAATTGGGGAGATTTGAGAAGGGTTTTGGAACAGGTAACTGAAATTTCAAGGGTAAGATTGCTAGAAGACATGAAAAAAAAACCCCCTCAAAAGTGAGATGGCTGCCTGGGTGGGGTGCTTCACTGACTCAGCCCAGGTAGAGCATGAGCCCCACATTTTCCTTGCAAGAAAATAAATAAACAAACAACAAGAGAGGTAGCCTGAAGGCAGGAGAGGGCTGGGCATCACCTACGTTGTGGGGAACAGAATGTACTAGTGGTATTATCGCAGATGATGCAAGAAAGGTAGGAGGAAGTTGAATTGTAGAGGGCTTGCATGTCAGATAGAAAGTTTGGAACTTAATTCTGTGTGTAAGGAAATCCTTGTAGGGATTTGGGGCAGGGGAGAAATCCAATTCAGTAAAGATAATGCATAGTGCCTTTTATAGCTTTACCACTGGATCCTCTCTGCTTCACATGTTGTATGGAACTTGTTCTGTGCAAATAAACATGTTAAATGGAATTAATTAATAACAAACATTATTAATTAATTATAAACATTATATTAATAATTAATAGATTAAAAATTAATTAATAATAATTAACGATAATTATTATATTAATAATAATATATTAATAATAAACATTAATAAACATGTTAAATGGAATTAATGGGAATAGACTAGATATTGAATTATCAATGAGGTTACTGTAATAATAGTTCAAGAAGAAGGCAGATGTAATCTTATGGGAAGGGAAAGTGTTAAAGAAGGCTGACTTTGACTCTATTCCACAAGTAAGATAGGGATATTGGGAACAGGGTGCAAGCAGGCAGAAAACAGGCTGTTTGCGGTGGGGAGGAATAAGAAGGATTCTTAATTCTGTTTTGGATTATGTTGTGTTTGAAGTGCTGCTAGGATATCTAGTAAAAGGATTTTTAAGTCTACAGCATTCATGAGCCCTCTTTGAGGGGGTACCATGTTCATATACCTCACTTTATCCATAGTTTATACAGAGTTGTACTGATTTCAGTTTGGTATTTTCCTTACGTTCCTTACAATTCTGGAGAAGTATCTTATTTTAGTTAGTACCCTACGCAAGAGCTGCCGTAAGCAGAAAGAGAAGGGGAAAATGCATAAAAGAAGATGAATAGTTGGAGGCGAAGTGATCTTCAGATTTCACGCTTTAAGCTGGGTAAATTGTACCCTCCACCTTCATTAGCTCGGGTATCATGGACAAGCATATTTTAATAAGGACAGACCCGGTACTTAGAAGCCGGGCGGTAACCGAAAAATAGGCATGTACAAAAACCACTTATAACTGAAAAAGTGGTAAGTCCATTGTGACCAGAGGTGACATGGTAGTTTACTGACTACTCTTCTGACTGAGGCTTTTATTTGGTAGAATCTTTACAAATTATTTTTCGAGCCCGGCTGCTAGCCTGAATTATAAGGGATTCATTTATTCCTTCCCACGTGCTATTTTGAGCTATATATGATTGGGAGCAGACACGCTCAGTTTATCTGTCCAGAACATGATGGTCTCCTTCCCTCTCTTTCCCCAAACTTCACAGCTAACTTCCCGACTCTACCACAGTGCAGCTATCCCAAACTCTCCCCTGCATCCAGGCTTTCCCATCCTACTTGGACTGGAGCTGAATGGATCCTGAATGGTAGGCACCTCCCTCCTACCCCCCACCCCCTACCCGCACCTGGCGGGGACGTGCCCCAGGGACGGTTGGAGCGCACTCCAACGGTCCCTTTTGTCCGGTAGGCGGGCGCCAAAGTGGTCTGGCTGGCGCGGGAGGTGGGGCGCGAGTCGGGGCGGGCTGGCACCACAGGTGGGGGCGCAAGCCTAGCGGGAGACGCCGGGCCAGAGGGGCGTGAGACCCGGCAGTTGGAGCTGGGCCTGGGGAAGCTCTCCGGTTTGCAACTGAATACAGCGAAGTAGAAAAAGCAAGGTGCAAAACGATAAGTATAGTAAGATCATATTTACGTAGGAAGATGCACAGCGTCAGACTGAGTACACACGTATGTATGTAAATGCATTGGAAAAGGTCTGACAGAGCTCTGGGGAAAGGAGAAAGCTGGGAGGGCGGATGAAGGGAGCTGACTTGGTGCATTGTGTATGGGAGATTCTTAACATTATTATTTAGGAAGAAAATGTGATCATGTCATTGAAAAAATCTGCACTTGGCAAGTTTGTTTCTCCTCTTGGCTTCCCGTCGGTAGAGACCTGTTCAGACTCAGACCGCAGGCCAGATAGGAGTCAAGAAAAACGCCTTTCTCCCTTCTCACTGCTTCACCACTTACCCCCCTTCACCTTGACACCGTTGGAATTGGCCTTGGCTTTTGTGGAGAAGCCTTCCTCACAGCCCTGGTCCTTATCACAGATCTGCCTGCAAAACCCTCTCCAAAGGAGGAAACACTTTGAAGATAGTAAATCACACACAGGCACATAAATATATGAATTAGACCCTATTCCTAAACAGTATTTGATAAATATTAAGATAAAATGTTTACAGGATATATCAATTTTCTCTTAAACAGTTGTGCCATTTCCTATTAATATGATCACATGATATTAATTTCTTAATTTGAAATAATTTTTGACTTAGAAAAATGTTACACAAATGGTACAAATAATTCCATTATATCCTTCACCCAGCTTCCCCAGATGTTAGCATTTAACACAACTATAACACAATGATTATAAGTAGGAAATTAGCATTACTACTACTCTGTTCACTATCTACAGATATTATTCAGATTTCTACAACAATTGTTCCTCCCCCTCACTCCAGTCCAGGATTCAATCCAGGATCTCACAATGCATTTAATTGTTATGTTTTACATAGATACTTCTAACTGGTGATAGTTTCTCAATTTTTCTTTTTCATGACTATACTTTTGAAGAATACTACTCGCCATTTTGTGAATGTTCTTCAATTTGGTTGGTTTAGTATTTTCTCATTATTAATTCAGGTTATGCATTTTTGGGCAAAAATATTAAATAAGTTATGTTGTGCCCTTTCTAGTGCATCATATCAGGAGGCACTAGATGTCAATGTGTCCTTAATGGTGAGGTTAATTAAAATGGTGTCCTTAATGGTGAGGTGGTGGCTGCCAGGTTTGTCCAATGAGAAGTTACGATTTTCCTTTTTGCATTGGGTCATAGGAGGCAGACACCCTCATCATATGTACCTCAGTTTTACCATTCATGATCCTTGACTGCAACAGTTAGTACTAAGGTGTTTGCCATGGTGATTTTTCTACTTCCATCATTCTTACTAAATTTCAATATGAATACTTAAATGCACAATAACTTTTTAAAGGAAAATACTTTTACTGCTTTAACCTAGGGGGGAAAGGCATTTGGAGATTGCGTGATATGCTGTGGAATTAGTGGCTAAAATGGAATTTATGTATGCATTACAGATAACTGAATTCTAAAAGAATAAAACACTATTCTTATTCTTAATACTTGTAAGGGCATGGATTCTAAAATCACAGTTTACATGGATTTAGAAGCTCATTAATTGAACTGGATTTATTACTCCTGTGTTTGTGCCCATCACTGACCCTTGTGAGGATCTGTTATTTATGAATCCTTTCCCTGGTAAATGGTACAGTAAAATGGTACTTAAAAATAGAACAAAAAGTCTTCGATTTTATTTCCAATATGCTGCTAATTTTAGCTGACATTTGCAAAACTGATCTTTAAATTAACAATACAGTTGAAACTCAGCCAATATCTCACTTTATTTAGCCTCCGTGTTTGCTGAAAAGATTTACTGTAAGTCAATGCACTGTAAGGAGGTGAAATTCTTGTGGGTGAAACTTTCATATTTCAATCCATTTGGCTATCAAGCATTTTGATAAGCCCCATTTGATTATGTTACCCTGTGCAGCATTTTCCCTAACCTTTATTACTGTAGATGGAAAACTGGTCCCAAGATTGGGTCTCAGCCTTGATGTCAATTTTTCTTGCTTTCAGTAAGAAGGAAAACAGGAGAGTAAGTTTAGAGTTTTTGTTGTTGTTTTGTTTATAAATCACTGACCCTTCTGAGTATGTGATATCTATGAATCCCTTCCCTGGTAAATTGCACAAACGCACATGTTGCATGAGAGCACAAGCAGTCCTATGTCAAACGGGGGGAGATAGGGAGGTGGTTATGGGGAGGGAAAAGCTGACTGTCAGAAGCTTCCCAGACACGGTTTTCCCTCCTGCCATATGGCACAGCTAGCCTCTCTTGGCAGCTCAGGTGGGGCCGCTAAGGCTACACAGCCCATCTGGCTCCTTGTCATTTCCATCTAACCCCCTCCCTTAACCCCCAATATCATCCTCTCCTTTATTACTTAGCCCCCAGTCTGCTCAGCTTTCTTGCTGGCTCTTCACTCCTCATGAGGTGCTCCCTGTCACCAGCTTTCACCAACTCTTTCACCTCGCTCACCAACTCTTGTTTGGGAAGATAGCGCAGAAGCTCAAGTGAGAGAACCTGCCCACTTCCAAATGGCTGCAGCAGAGAAGCACTTATTGAGTGCATATGTCAATGCTCTCCCTTCTCATCAGCACAGAACTCTTGCCACGTTTCCCTGCCTATCTGAAATTGGAACACGAGCTGATGAACACGTTGGGGGGATACGTCTAATATCTATGGCTTACACAAACGGTCACCATTACCAACGGAGAGAAAGTCCCGTTGTAACAAAACTTCCTCCCCCCCCCC